TTCACTTGAACTTTATTTGCTGGCTATGCAATCCGCTTTTGAACAAGAGAGTCAAGTATTTGCTATGTTTGAATTTATATTTTTCTGCGTTTGCCCTTGAAAGATTATGATTTCAAGTATTAGGTAAATATCGAGCGGTTTTATTACTTCCCATTTTGCTTTCCGGGAGATCATTCATTGTGACATTATATTCAAAAGTTAATCGGCTCTTTGGGAACAAGGGTTTTGGAAGAAAAGAGAGAAAAAATGACAAATATTTTATTTTAAATACGTATTTTTTAATTTAATTTTTTTAAAATAAAAGATATGAAATAATAAATTAATATAAATTTAATATATTAATTACTTATTTACCATCATAATTAATATATATTCTTTTGGTCTTATTTGTAAGATTATTTTAATTAAATTACATAGATTAAGAAAAGTTAATGAGATTAGCTAATATGTTATATTTTAAAATATAATTACAATATTTTAAGTATATCTTTATTTAAAGTTATTTTTTATTATAGTAATTGTTAAGAAGTTATAAATGTTTAATATCCACAAAGAATAAATATGTGAAAAAGTAATAAATGTTGCTAAAATTTTATTAAAAAATGTATATTAAAGACTACAACAAAATCTTAAATTTTATAAAAAAAGATCAAGGAGTAATTTTTTGAATTTAAAATGAAAAAGAATTTTTTATTCTCCCTTTTCTTTAACAAACTATTTCAAACAATGTCTCTTTAGATGCATTTATTTTTGTGTGTAGTTGGTAGTTTGGAGGGAGGCTTGTACCCTTTTTTTGTCCGAGGGAAGAGGGGTGAGTAATGGGAGAGAGTACTGTGCTTCTTATATTCTATATTTTTAGCTTGTTTAAGTTTGTTTTGGACCCCAAGGAGCAACTCTATTGCATGGTCAGGATAAGAATTGATAAGATAGGTTAATTATCATATTCCATTTTAATCAAGTCTTTGTTAAATTACAAAGATAAGATTAATTATTATGTTATCTATCATATTTTATTAGATTAGTGTAATTACTATTACGAAAATATGGTTATATTAACAGAAGAAGAATGAAAGGATAGAAATTTTCTTAAAATACTCTTAATTTATTCTATTACTTCTTTTTTCTCTCTTATCTCTTTTTCTCTCTTGTACTCGTTCTCTCTCTATATATATAAATTATTTTTATATATTTTTAAAATTAAAAAATATTTTAAATTATTTATATATTTTTAATAAATTAAAAATAAATAACTTATAAAAAATAAATTTAGTAAATATAAATAAAAGAGTAATTTTGTCAAATTTTTGCATATTTATATCATATTGCATTAAACATTAAATACGATAAAATTTTATCATGCTCTTATCATATTCTACTTTTATCCAACTAAACCGCTGTGAGAATTGATTATTTTTCAAAAATTCGTTTTGCAATGACATGCACTATAAAAAATTCTAACAGTACACCTTTAAACATATTTTTTAATTATTTCTTAAAAGTTAGAATTGATTACTTTTCAAAGATTATTTTGATATTTACAAAAATTATTAATTAAAAAAATGTATTAAAAAATATATTCAGAAGACTGTTATAGTATTTTAAGATAATGAACAAAATTTAAGTTCTCTTACTACTATTCACTCATTAAAATTAAAGTTTTATCTTGATAATATGTAATGACATTAAATATAAATATTTTATTAAAATAAAAATCTAATTTTAATCGGTAAACAACACTGATAACACATGTAAATAAGGCTTAAGTTTTCTCCTAAGATAACTAAATAATTGATTTTCCAATGTAAAGTGATTAACATGTGCCATTATAAGCTATCCATTTATTTGACAAGCCAGAATCATTTGGTTCGAGCTAATAATATGATTCAGTAACTAAACCATTGTACAGTCGATGAATCTTGAAAGCTGTATTCGCCGAGGAACTATTGTTTTGGAAAGCAACACTTCATACACATCTTTTGCTTTTATCCTTGAAAAAACGGTCAGATATTTCTTTTACTTTAATACAGCTCTAAAGTGGTAGGTCACAAAGAATATCTTAGTCTTTGGCCATATTCTTATAGCAAGATTTTTCCCATCCTCCTCAATTCACCCCCTTAAATTTCTTTACTCTTTCATGGTTATTACTTAATTAAACACGTGAAATAATTTATTTATTGGAACCACATAAATTTATTAATTAAAGATATAAAAAGGGTGAGAGATAGAGAATACAAGCTAGAAGAGTTGAATGTAGTCGTCATGAATAATCGAGAGAAAATAAAGGAAAGCATAAAGACTGGATTTAGAGGCTAATAAGCGTTTTCTTTTAAAACTTTGAACGGAGCGATTGAGTAATCTTAATAATGCAATGACCTTTTAAAGTTAACTTGTTTCTAAAGTGCATAAATAAGGATCCATTTCTTGAATTTTTTTAGTGAAATGTTGAACTTCGTATTAAATTAAGGGTAAAGGCACCCTTATTTATTTATAGATTTTAGAGGCAACCACACTTTGGGGGTATTTTTATTTTATTTTATTTTATTTTTGAAGTCTAGGCAATACGAAAGAGAGGTAAGAAAAGCATAAAGGAAATCCATTGAACACATTAAACCAAGACTAGGATTTTTATTGCATGGAGTGAAGAGCTTGGAATTCTAAAGACTGTTGTTAGCATAAAGAAAGTGGTGGAACATGAAAGCCTGTTATTGGTTGGCTTGTTTTTTTCAGTAGTTGATGCTATTCCCCACCTTCTTCCAAAATTCTCTACTTTTAATGACTTTCTTGTCTCTGTTGCATTAGCATTCTAAATGAGTCACCCACTCCGATTTTTAGTTTTGGTTGTCATGTCACCATTCTAAGAGTCTAATTTGGGGGACGCCTCTTACAAGAATAACTAAGCACTATAAATGTTTATTAGTTCGTTCTTTTTTCTTTTTTTTTTGTGTGTGTGTGTTTTTTTTATATATATTTTTAACCAAAACAGATATTGGGTTAACTGGTTTAATGGTGGAAGAAAAGGTTTTTCTTCGTTTTGGAACAAAATCAATTGAATGTGACCATCCCACGCATTTTCAAACATTAGTGATTGACAGCATATTTGGATTTGCATTTTAAAGTTTTGTATTTACATTTATTTCAATATTAATAATTATAGTTTCTTCTGAATTTTCATGGAACATAAAAGAACAGGATTTTTCCGACAAAAATAAGGATAACCAAAATGTATTTTTTTAAGTATTTTTAGTATTATTATTCAGTTAAAATTTTACTTAAGCAACTTGCACCAACCTGAAATGTCACCCTCTTTAATGTGCAGATATATAAGTAAAATAAAAAATATATAAGAACTGTACCTATATTTAACAATTAAATAAACATAAACGCAGAAGGCTACTGGCTCAATTCAAAAATATGCAGAGAATCGTTTATCTGATTGGCATACATGTGTTCAGGATATGATACAAGGACACGTCAGCATGGTTTGATAACGTGGCAGACTAAAAGTGTGTTTCGGGTCCCTGGTTGGGTCAGTGTTTGGTAAAAAAGAGGAAGACAATGATAGGGATGTAGGGAAACTGAGTGAAAAGATACTTGGCTTCTCAAGGATATTGTTCCAATTAACTTTTTATTCAAACCTGTGTCAGTCTTCTAAAACAGCCTTATATATTGCCTCTATGGCATGCTTATGATTGAGGTGAATCTAAAACTTCCCTACATGTTCCGGGTTTCTTATGCTTTTTGCTTTTAGACTTCCAAATCCCATAGAAGATAAACTGCAGGATTATTCTTGTTGCAGCTGTGAGCATTAAGAAGTAAGAGTCACAGTCTCAGACACATCACCTACTCACTCTTCTTTGTTTCAAACTGAGAAAGTTTTTTTTGTTCCTCAAAATTATCCATACCAAAAGACATGAGTTTCTTAACTTTGAGAGGGATCTTTATTTTGGTTTGTGTTTGTGTTTTAGCTTCTCAACCATGCATGGTTTCTGGCCAGAGAAGCAGAAATCTTGCTTTGAGATGGGATAACAAGCAATTACCACTTGCTCAAATATCTCATATCCTTAAGGCAGTGACAGTGGAGGACTTGCAATCAAAGCTGGATCTGGCACCTGCTCCTTCAATGGTGACATTTGATCCTAATCAATCAAACAAAAGGACAGTTCGAAAAGGGTCAGACCCAATTCACAACAGATGTTAACATTCTGTGGCTTTGTCCTTCTAACTATGCTAAGAAATGCCAAGTGACTGAAATGAGTTTCCTGTTGTGAAGATAAACATAATTGTTCTATGCTTTGTTACCCGTTTCTAGACGAGGTTGGTTGGCTTTCTATGTTTTTCTTCCCCCCCCTCTCTTTTTATAGTTGTGTTGAGTCTGTATATCAGGTGAAGAATTGCAGCTAAAACTCATCTGAGTAAGCATCATCATTTCTTATCGTGTAAAGAAATCATAGGTGTTCAAGAATAGCTAGATAGTTTCATGATATTGTTAGCTATCAAATACAGAATATAGTCTCTCTCTCTCTCTCTCTCTATATATATATATATATATTGAACACTTGTACATGTGTGTCCCTGACCAATTAGTTGACCCTTTTTCCAGCATAATACAGATACTAATGACTTTTAAAATGTTTGTTTGAGTATTTATAAACTTAAATTAAAAAAATTATTTCGTAAAATTATTTTTATTTGAAAATCAAGTTAAACTAATACAATTTATATTTAGAAACTTCAATTTAAAAGTATTTTGTAGGTTATCACATTTACTCAAATGTGAGTTAAGAATCAAAATCAATTTTAATTTAAATCAACCCAACAAATTAGCACAATAATCAAAGTATGTTTGAAGTTTTGGATATGTAAAAGTGATTCAGAATACATAATCATCTTATTATTTATTTAGGTAAATTTCACTCCGTTACTGTCCTAATCCATGCTTGCATTTAGTAAAATTAAGATCCAGTTCTCTCGTGAGAAGCAGAAGTATCTCCAACATTTTCACCCTATTCTACCGGGGAGAATTTGCTTCTTTGTATTTCGCAAAGATAATGCAAATTGTGATCATCCATATCAAGAATAGGTCGCGAGAAGTGGAAAATATCAATTAAGGGATTCTTTCCATAGTTTTTCCTAAAATTCACATGCCCAGATTCAATAAGAGGATAAATAATGAGGTATACTTAGACATTAAAAAACAGAAAAAAAAAAGGAGCTTTTTTTCCTTCAATAAGATAAGCTATTCAGCCAAAACAAAAACAGTGAAGGGTAGGAAGCTTAGCAGTGACAAACGAGACTAGGTTTGTCTCTCTCCCATTGACATGGTGAATGTGATCAAGGACAAAAGATTCCAATGTAACAGAATCTCAGCATTTCAGTTAGTCTTAACAAGCTGAGATCTTCGGTACCTGTTTTTCCTATGCAAATTGAACCGCATTGAAGACATCTTTCTTGCAACTTGCTGCCAAATCATATTCACTGCATCCCCAGGTTGGGATGGATATTGATATTCAAAGTGATGTGTAATCTCCTTCAATCTTTCCCACATCTTGGTCCACTCCTTGCGCTTGATTGACCGAAGGAGATTCAGCAAGTAGCCTTTCTTTATGGCGTCAGAGGCACGGACAAATAAGGAAAAGTCTGAGTAGTCCAAGACATCCTCAAACGGTAGCTCAATTTCGTCACTAATGATCACAGGAACACAGTGGCTTACTATGGCATCAAAGAGGCGATTAGAGGATGGGGTATCTCCAGCAATGTTGAGGCAGAATTTCGACAAGGCCATGCCCTGGCTTGCCTGATTAATACCATTTCCTCCTATGCTCCCAAATGCAAAATGCACATCTTTCTCATCTTTAAGGAGGTAGAACAGTTCTTGGCGAATAGCTCCTCCCTAGAATTTCAACATGATAATTTAACCAATTAAAATGAAGACTCATCTGGCACCTCTAGAATTAATACAACAAATTTGATAAGGGAAGAGGCATTGACGGAAAAACAGCAGAAATTACATCATTGCAATGATTCTCAGAAATCAATCTTAGCAGGATGTGTTTTATATTCCGATGAATAGGTCCTAAATCATGTGCCCAATACATTCGTATATGTCAAAAGAAAAAAATTGATAAAATCGTCCAGAAACCATTAGAGTGGTTTCTTATATTTGGCAGCATGAAAATGCAATATTCTCTTGCACCACATCAGCATTGAAGGCTTGTGAACAAGCTATAATGGTCCTACCTGTGCTGATTAAACTTCCACATGATTATATAATCAATTAATGCATCTAGACTCAGCTCAGTAACACTGCTATTTACCACTTGACTGCCTTTTGAAGTTAAAAAAAATTATAACACTCAACATCTGTAGAGAGGTGCACTTAAATTTAATACATGGCACTATCTAAGGCAATAAACAAATAAAAATGTCAAATCAGGAAGTAGTAGTTAATTCTGAATTCCACCCATCAACAAGTTAAGCTAAATCACCTTAAGATCATGCCAATACTCAAAATGGAACACAGACATTTTGCTAACCTTGAGCAGAATCAATAACCAATTTAGTCATAGATGAGTTATCATAAAAACAAGTCAATGTGAGAATTTTTTCATAATAAAGTAAAAATGCATTAAACAGATAACATGAGTATGGTAGAAACTCACATCTTTCCTGTATATTGCCCCCTGGAAATACACCAGGGTGGTACGATCTTCATATGAGGCTGATTCTGCTCTTGGTATAGTTCCTACTAGGTGCCTGTAGGGGGCTATTATATCTTTGTTGATATTTGCTAATTCAACAGGATACCTTCCAAAATCTGCAAGCACAAGCATAGCTGAACCTAACTTTTTTCTGGCATCCAGCAAGCTGTTAGGATGGTGAGCTACAATTAGATGATCCTTCCCCCCTGAACGCTGCCATTCTTTCTGACCCATTAAGAATTGTACCAATCTGTCTTGCAACATTTTGTTAACACTAACCTTTTCCTCTCCATGAAGCTTAGAATGCCGATTGTAACTGAGAGATGAGAAAAACGGCACAAATATTACATCTGCTTGACTTGAATCCTGAACTCTAATTGCGGTGCAAGGTTCGCCAAACTTTGCATTGTTTGATGACAGAAGATCAAGGGTGAGCCAGTATTCCAAACTGTGCTGCAAGTTCAGTCCACCTGGATAGCGTGGAATATGTTTGGGGTTATCCACCTCTGGCCACGTTTGATTCATGCTTCCCTTCCAACCCAATAATCCAAAATGGAATTCTGGAGGCAAGTCATACATGAATACTCTCAATAGAGCCCGAGTTGGGTTGGATACCATATTCATCTGCTGCCCTGCATGACTTATTTTCTGGTTTGAATTGGAAACTTTACAGTCAGATTCTCTGGTTTTTTGAGATTGAAATTTTAAATCCTCAGAAGGGTAGGGAGGGAGTATAATTTGTTCTCTCTTCAAATTGGGCATGAAGTAAAGTGACGAATTATTGACAAGAATAAGCTCTAAAACTGATCTAGGTATCAAAGAATGACTGCTAAACTGGAGTAGGAAAAGGGAAGACAGGACCAAAAGGAACATAGAAATGAGCATCACACAAAATATAAACCTCGAGTGAACCATGATCTTCTCTGACATTGTTGGAGGTCAAGCAAGGTCCAATGTAAGCAATCTTCCAGGGAATTTAACAAATGAAACAAGACAGCAAAAGAAAATATATAGAGAACCTCACAGGGTATGATATTTCCACAAACACACAAAGCAAGGACCTTGATGGAGGTTATGGTTTTAACAATAAACCCTCCTCAATCTTCTGCATCCATGGCTCGAATCCCTCAAACACGAAAGACCATAACCAGCCCTTTTATGGGTCTCAACCTTCAAGAGTGTTGGAGATAAAGATCCCAACAATTTTCATGTACAATGACTAGCCACATACAAAGCAGAGGAAAAATCCACACTTATATGTGCCATTGACGAGATATAGTATCAACCATCAACCAAAAGGCCTTGAAATTCAACCTGGGTTGAACCTTTTCAAAACTAGCAACAAACAAACACCCAGAAAAAGAAAGTTCTCAGTTTCAGCATTCAGCATTTCAGAAAACAAACTTATGAGATGCAAATCACACGAAACACATGAAAATGTTTGGACTAAACAAAACGAGGAAAATTAAAGAGGAGTTGGCATCTGGGTAGACAATAATTTTTTGAGCTATAAAAGGGTACCTGAGCGATGAGGTTGATACTGCCGCTCTCACTTCATCACTGTGCTGAGTCTCGAATTCGGACAACAGAGGATAAAAAGGAAGAAACTTTGTGGACAAAGGTTTGTGTTTTGTTAGCGACGCAGGCCCAACGTGTGCCAAATGTTAATGTGATCACACATTCATTTATTGTTCTATTCTCAACCTTTCTTGCGGAATTCAAATACCCAATAAATAAATATACGATACTATTTACTTCTTAAAATATTTATATTCTCAGTTTCGGTCGCTCACAATGAGTAATTAAGGGAACCCTCTTTCTGTACGTTTCTGACTTTATTATTAGGCAAATGTTAGGCTAGGACAAAGGTCAAACAATTAAAAAAACAATTTTTTATTAAATAGTTATTAACATATTTTTCACAAAATTTTTATTGTGATTCTTAATTTTTTTTATTAATCATTTATCAGTACTCTAAAAGTATTACATAAAATTTATTGATATAACATGACACCTTATATATAATTTTGACATGAAGAAAAAAGGCAATTAAGTTTCCTGCCACCAATTTGGGAATTAATAACTTTTAAAATTTGAAAGAGGGTGTTGGGTCCAACAATTTTCTGCAGAAAGTCAAAATCTTGATTTGCACTAAGATGGTGGAAGATAATCTTACTATGAAGAAATTAACCATAGATTGACTAGTGATAGTTGGCAACTTGCCAACGCCGCAGAGTGAATGAGACTTTTCTTTTGAGGGTTTTGATAAATTTGTATTTCACTACGAAATAACTAGGTGTTATTAGGTATGTGGACTAATTTTCCACTTAAAAAAGAGATAAATAAAAAGTAACAAGAAAAAAGGCTTTGAAGATGTGCTTTAAATAATTACCCGTGGTTTTTATTGCAGTAGGTTAATGCAGCAAATGAATAAGACACCTGTAAAGTAACCACATGAGTAGGGAAAGAACCTTATTCTTTTTACTTTAGACACCAACTTAATGTGTATTGTTATAATGGATGATAAAGTATGCTGTATGCTTTAGGGGTACATCATTTTCTCCCTCATTTTTTTGGGTAATTAGAAAATAGAAAATTAAGGAATAGTAGGAGCTACCATTCTATTTTCTTTCCGATACAGTCTCCAGAATAAACTGATGGACCACTTCTATTTAACTTTTTGCTATTAATTTTTTGTTTTTTTAACTTTTGTGAGCAGAACAAAACAAAATATATTAGAGGGAACTTGTTTTCATCCAAACACAAGCTGATAGGTTGTGTAGTGTCAACCGACACGATGTCAAGATACTTTTCTTTCCTGAGATTTCTTATCTTAAAGATGGGTTTTTATAAATAAAAAAATTACATAAAAATTATATCTATGATAAAAAAAGTTTTATATAAAAAATAATTAAAAAAATTATAAATATGAAAATTAATTTTATATTTTTATTACAACGTAATTCTTTAAGTGTATTGAAGATTTTTCTAATTGTATATAAAGTCAGAATTTCTAATTTTATTCATAAAAAAGTATCCGCTTAAATGATTTATAATTTTATTTAATACAAAAATGTAAAATAATAAATTTATATTGAGACTTTATCACTTGAGTATGAAATGTTAAATTACATTAAATTTATATATATATTTTTTATTTTTATATAAATATCATTTTTTGTAATTGAAAATATAGATGATTTTTCTCTCTCTTGTATTTGGTAATACTATTTTATAATTTATTTATAAGTTTATAACTTTTTTTATAAAAAAATTAATAGAATTGTTGAATATAAAAATATATTTTAAAAGTTAATTTATAAAAATATTATAGATAAAATTTAACGTATTTGAAACTATCTTTTAATATTTTTTTATTTAATATATTTAAACAGGTTATACTGACATAAAAATATCTTTAACTCTTTCTTTGATCATTAATATATTTTAATCAATTATACAATTAATTTTATCAAATACTTTTAATTTAGTATACTAAAAATTACAAACTATAAACTTTTTACTGAAAATTACAAGTTAACTTATAATTATAATTTTTAATTAACTTTTTTCAGGCAAAAGATGGTCATAATGATAAAATTCCCATTCGCGTATTTGGTAAGAAAGTGTGATCTCGACAGGGCAAAAATGATAATACCGCTACAAAAAAAAATATAATGATAATAACTATGTGCCTCTCTTTTTTAAGGTTTCTTATCTTTGCACGAAGCCAATAAATTCACTTTTTTATTCATTATTATTTTGATCAGCCACTCTTTTTCATGGGCTCACTCTTTTGTCTTCCGTCAAAATTCATGGGCTCACTTGAGCGGCACTTAATGACAGAAGCCCATTATTCTTCATTATAGCCCACAGTTTAATTATTTAATCTGTAGCCTATTTTAAGAAAGCCTGCACTTTGGTTTAAACGAAAAAAAAAAATGCCGTTGACAAGGAGTAAAGAGTTGACCAAAAAACAAAGACCAAAAGAAATAAAAAAGAAAAGAAAAAATTGTCTTACAGGACACAATCCTGGGTCTATGAAATTCCCACATTTCTCTCCCCCTCCCTCAACGACACAAAAAATGTGCATGTAAAATAGTTTATCTTTTTATGTTCTTTTAATTTGTTATAATAATTTATTCATATGATTTATTATTTTTTAAATTTTTGTCAAGTTTTATAGTATAAAATTTTGTGTAATTATAATTTACTCCCTCCAGTACTTTTTATAATAAATAAAATAAAATATTTTCATATCTTTATTATAAAAATAAATTATAGATTCAAGATGTATTAATTGTTAATTTTTTTTTATACTCTTCTTTTATCAATATCATTAAATATATAAATTACTAATTATACCATTTAATATCATTAATATTTTTAAAATAAAATTTATATTTATAAAAAATATAATAAAATTAATTACTTTTCTTAATCTTGATAATTTATTCTTTTATTTCTTATAAAAAAGAATTGAATTGTTTCTTTTATATCTTATAAAAGGAAATTGAATTGTTGCTCAAATGCGCTCTAACAAGAGAAAATTATAATTTCGTGGCCTACGACAAGAGATGGAGAATTGACCAATAATGGAAAGAGATAGTTAAGTTACCTCCACATCGATATTTGAGAAGTTTTCAGAATATTGATTTGGTTTTGTAACGCTGTTATGTAAATGGGTCTTCAAATGATAATGTTCTGCCATTAAAATATTCTAAAGTTGCTATTTATATTTACTGGTATCAGTTGTATCATTTAAGATTAAAAAAAAAAAAAGGTTATAATTGAAGGACAAGTTTCATGCTGTTGACCACTTAAAAGACCAGACTAATTTCTTTTAATGATCATTATAAGTTCAAGTTAGGAGATACGATTATTTTATTCTTTTCATGTATGTTTTATATGTTTATAAATATTTTATAGTCCAATATTTAATATTTATAAGTATCACTGATGCACTATGGCCCCTGCTTCTGATGCAGATGCCAGATTCTTTGTATTGGGAACTGAAGAGAATCACGAGATACAAGAATTAAAATAAGGTCGGATCTATAGATCCTCTTGACTACAAGACATATCTTAATGCATTATAACAAACTAAAATTATAAAATAAGTTCATTATATATAATACTCAAGAAAGGACAATGACAATCGACTAATTAGATGCAGATCCCTCTCATACTTGTTTAGCAGAGGGAGTAACATATATGGTTCTCTTTAATGAAATTAATGATTTAATTAATTTCATTGAAGAAAACAAGATGGTTATAGTCTTAGTGATTACCCAATCATATACGAGCTACCCAAAAAATAGTAGTGACCATAGTTCCACTTCTTTGAGGAATTTTAAATTTGAGAGGAAACCAAGTTTAATTTCAAGGGCATTTGGGTCCTCCACGCTTGGTCTTCCAGTTGTTGTAGCAGGGGCACACAGCTTTGTTTCCATAGTAGCCAGGAGGAACACACAGGCACTTGGCACAGCATTTTTGACAGAAGAACATGCATGGCTTGTGGTATTGTGTCTGGCTACATCTTCTCGAACATTGAGTTGGGCACTCTGATCAAACCAAATCCAGAAACATATATCTAACATTAGACCATATTCACATAATTCAAAGCGAATGAGTTGAAAAGAGTAAACCTCACATTAGTCATCGAAATAACATGAGCAAGATATTTTAATCCCAAAATTTTAAGATTTTTCTGTTAGTCCTTAACTTCACAAAATGATATTTGCTTCAGTTTTTTAGTATGGAAAAGACTAATAATTTTTTTTTAAATCCTAAACACTAAAATGCCTGATCCTATAATTTTTAGGACTATTTTGAAGATTTATTCAAGTAGAAAACATTGATCATTTGGTAAATCTGCAGGAGCTTTCAGTGTTCATGATGAACAAATACAACTCATTATGCAATATCGAGTACAATTACTCACGAGAGCTCTTTAGACTCCCAGGTCCATAATTCCCCTGAAAATAATGAGAAAACAAAACTTAGTCAAGCTATTCAACATTGCAAAATGCTAAAGAGGGAGGGTGAAAAATGCTGAAAACACAGTGAAGAGATACTCACACTGTCCAAGTGATACTGAGCAGCATCCTTTGCCATAACCTGAAAACATATGGTAAGAGTTTAATTTAAAGGAAGGCTCTTTTCTTAAGACTTGGAGTAAACAACAATGGCAAGTACATGTAACATGTTAAGTGGTAATAATGGGTTGATTAAGGAGGGGACTAACCTGAGTTGTGATCATGGAAATGCCAAGGAGTGCCAGAAGCAGAACAAAGACAAGCTTAGCCATGGCCATTGCACTAAACAAAAGGGTCTAAGACCTCTTTGTGGGAAAGAAAAAGAACACAATAAGGGGTGTGGGGAAAGTGTGAGGGACCTCTAGTTTAAGGGGCCTAAATGGTTTGGTGCGTTTGGTTTGATTCAGATGCGGAAGTTGTATGGGCTATAAATAGATGCGGTTGGCTTTCAACTATTAATCCAACAGATTGGATAATTGGAGTTTGGGATTCCACAGTGTATTATTTATTATATTGCATTGTATTTATTACATGCACCTGTTTTCATGATAACGTGAACTTCTTGTACCTCTGATAGCTTCCATCTTATCCCCTATTTGTGCACCATTCAATAATCTAATTTTATTTAATGGCTGTTGATGCAGTAGATAATGCTTGAAAATTGCAATACACATTAAAAAATATTAATTAGTTCATTTTTGTTTGTATATTTTTTAACAAAAGTAAATTATTAGTATTAATATTTTAAAATTGTACTAATAATGTAATAATATATTATACAATTTTCTTACGAATATAAAATATATAAGTTTTGTAAGTGGGAAGTATTATTTCTACAGCAATATTTATAAACTGATAAAAAGTATTAAAAAATAATTCCATTACCACTTGCCAACTTATAGGATTCATGTCAATCGATCTACTAAATAATGACAGAAAAAGAAAGCATTCATGACAATCGATTGACAATTCCTTTTCTCCCCTCTATTATAAGTACTTAAAACAAGTGCTGATTTGAATTAAATATTGTTTATATAATGAGTAAATCAACATATCATGCATCAGAGAATATTTTTTCCGTGTTATATTTGTAATCATAACCTCTTTTTGCACGGCTGAAAATAAATAAAAAAATACAAATTTTTTATTTTCTATGAATGCAAGTTACATAACAATAAATAATCGTCATGGAATGAAAAATGATAATGGGAACGAGGCAACAAAACAAGAGCATTTGATGGTTTGAGAAGAATGTGTTAAAGAGGGGTGGGAAGTGGAGGAAAAGACATGATTTATGATTGGTGGTGTTAAGGAGAAAGAAGAGAGAGAGAGAGAGAGAGAGAGAGGATAGAAGCAATAATTGCAAAGAGAGAGAGTCACATGGGGAGGTGGTTAAGAGTGGGGTATTGAGGAAGAGGGATTGTATAATTGAAAGGGTAAGGCATGTGCAAGGAGTGCAAAGGCACATGACCTCAAAGATAGGCCAAAAAAAGGACAGCAGTGCGCACGATACGCTGTCACCAATTCACCAAATCCCCAATTCCCCATGCACCTGCATATTGCATTCCCTTCACATTTCTCTTTATTTGTTGCACTCTCTTTCCCTTCTCCTTTCCTTCGTCGATCAATGTTTCCCAATCTCTGTCCCCAGACTCACTCTCATCATCATCACATTCACTTGTTAGATGTGTCTCCTTCGTTAATCCATTCAGAATAATTCCACATTCTTTTACTTTCTTTTCATTAAATTATCTTACTTTTTCTCATTTTTCTATTACTTTTTGTTTATATTTATTTTATAAAATAATAAACAATCTGTTAAAAATAAATAGAAAAACATAACAAAACTCTTTCTTTATTACACTATTTTACTATATATAAAATAATAACAAGTATATATACACACACACACATTTTTTTATAATAATTTATAAAAAATATTTCATAATATGAAATAAATAAATTTTATAGGAATGAAGAAAGAGAAGAGAAAAAGAGAATAATAAAATCAAATTTTATTAATAGTTAAATTTAATAGAATTAAAGATGTTATAAAAATTAAATTTTGTTAATTTATTTGTTAACGTACACTTTTAATATTTTTTAATTTAATAGATTTACCTCAATTTATCATTCTAATTGTATATTGACTTTGGGTACCTTCTTGGCTTGATATGTTTTCTTGTAATTCTTTCTTCCGATTACTCTAACAATTATTGTTTTCATTTCTATTTTATTGTTCTTTGGTGTGCATACCCACGAATTTATCTAAAACTAGATCTTTTTGTAATTCTAAATTTTTATCTAAGCTTTAATTTCACACAAGTCTAGAATAAACTTGTGAACATTCAAGTCTCGCACAAGTTTATGTGCAATCGTAACGGAGATAGAAAGAGTGGACAATACTTTTAAAAAAAAGGAGTTCAAATTAATTTCTTTTCTTACTAATAATTTTTATTTTTATTTTTTTAAATTGTGTGAACTTTCAAACTGATTATTAACTATTTATTTTTAAAAGCTTATGAGCTTCAAAATTTGCTAGTTTTTAACAGTGGTAAAAAGTAGAGGATCCACAAATGCTGAAAGTCAAAATAAGAGCATAAGGTGTTTTAAGACTATTATAGAAAGCGTAGAAGAGCTTAAATTAATAGCATCATAAATAAGTTAACATAAGTTTGCAATACATTGATGAAAATTTATAATATATTATTCTCATTAACATATACAATTTTTTTAATTAGATTGTGTAAATTAGAATATTGAAATATTAAAATACAATGATAATAAAATATTAAAATTTAATCCAAATATTGAAATACAATAGTCTTGAAAACGCTTAAAAACACAAATTTAAAAATTAAAAACAAACTTAAAACTCTAAAGTTTTTAAAGTTGACATATAACCAATACTGTAATATACATTTTTACAAAAGTTGGAGCATAAAATATAAGTTTTTATGGATCTATCTTTTACATATAAGTTCTCTTTTTCTTTATATTTTTTCAATCATAAACACGTTCATTCTTTAATAAAGGACAACACTAATATATAAATCACTAAACTATAATAGATATTAGAAAATACGGATGCATAATGCCTAATATAGACTAAATTGTAAAAGTAAGAAGATTATGTGAAACAAAATTTGGAGTGTTATTAAATTGTAATTAGACTAAATATAGTAGCATAATAATTGTGTAGACTCTATATAATACAGTCCAAGTTATTAAAGCTCAAATTTTAAATTTTTCTTAAAAAATTTACAAGCTATATAAATTAGAATTCAACGAAGAAAAGAGATATAATTTCAATCAAAGTGACATAAATATAATAAGATTTAAACTCAAGTAACTGCATAAATAAAGTAAAAAAATATGAACTAAAAGAAAAGATAAAGACACCACACACATGATGTGATAAGCTCTAAGAAGGATTTTTGCAAAAGTGTAAAAAATTCTTAATGAAATCTAACAAAGATTAAATTTAAGAACTTCCAGAAAAGACTCACTTTCTCTATAACTTAAATACAAAGGTAATTATGTGCACATTATCTTTTCTTAGAACACTTGTAATTGTTCTCCCAACTAATGTAAAACTACTCTTAAACTTTTATTTTGATATAATGATGTCATCAAAATAGGCAATCATAAATCTACCAATAAAATTATGTAAGACATGGTTTATAGGTGTCATTAAAGTACTAGGAGGGTTAGTTGATCAAAATATGATTACCATTTGTACTAAATAGGACATTATTCGGTCACTACGACAGAAAAAGAAATTCGAATACCTCTTCGGCCTAAAAGACAGACATACCTCCAGTCAGATTAAAAAAGATGATTAAAGAGACTAAAATAGATAATCACTACTTGATTACTTATGTAATTAGAAGGCTAAAGTCAGGGCTGAGTCATGAAGCCCATTAGCCTAATATCTTGCCTATAAAAGGAAAGTAAGAGGTATAGGTAAAAAAGTTGACTAATTAGTATTAAATAACATTTATTATCTAAACTGACACTTGACTTTATCATCAGAGTGCCTTTTTCAGGTACTTTCTCCATATTATATAAAAGAAGAATCTGGAATATGTGAAGACGTCACGCTACAAGACAGAAGAAGAGATCATTGAAGACCATTGTATCCTTAACAAGAACACCATTCATTCTTAAAACCAAAATTATTTTCAAATTCAATTTTTCATTCATTATATTACTTTATTCTAATTTGATGATATTCACTCTTAAAATCTATCTTACAAAAGACATATAGTGTTAATGTTATCTATACTTGATGATAATGTTATTGATAGTTCTATAATTAGTATGTATTCTTTATTAGTCATCCTTATTGGGAACTAACAAAATTGGTATAACAGATGGATTAAGACTTTTTCAAACCCAACCTTTTGCAATACCTCATCCATTTGTCTTTGATTTTTTTTTTCTTAAGGATTGCTTCTCTATAAAATGCTTATTCGGTAATTAAGCATTTGACAGAAAACTATTTGGAGCTTAATGTCTTACATTAATAGTAATCCACTTGGCATCACTTGAGGAAATAAATCCTTGAAGGCTTACAAAACATATTAGAGATTAAATGAATTTTTTTTATAGTTTTAAACACAAACTCTTATATGTAGAAACATAAAAATATTACTTAGCGTTTACATCATTCTCCATGCCCCTCTTTCTTTATGAAGATGTTTTCATTTCTTTCCTTTTTTATCTTTTTTTTTATTTCTTTTTATGTTTCTATTCTCATGCTCCTTATGTTTTACTTCTTGTTTCTCATGTCTTTTTTCCTTATTCTCAATTTTTAATTTATCTATACAATCTTCTTTATGTGACAAATGTATGATTTTTATTTTATAGAAATTTACAACAAAGGAAACTTTATTGGAATGAACATCATGAAGCATATTCCTATCAAATTGTCATGGTATTCGAAGCAAGGTGTAACTATTATTTGTCACTTTTATAAAGAAACCTTAGGTGAGTCTTTGTAACTTGTTATGTAGCTCCCTATAGTAATAGGAAGCACAAACCTCCTTCTCATTAAAGCTTTCATTTCTTACTAAGTGCTAATAAGTTGATACCTGTATATCTTACCTTCTCTTTTTATAATTGTCTAACAAATCAATGCATAATACGAGAATTCGAGGGCTATAACGCCCCAAATTTTGGTAATATTAATTATTATTATTATATATATGTATATATATTCATATGTATGTTAATTTATTTGATAATGATGTTTATGTGTATTAAGTACATGGATGTGTGTATTTATGTGTATGCATGACCGGATAGGGCTAAGATGGGCTAAGTACCTAAGTGTAAGGCGTGATACTGGGCTATTCTCGATGTAGCGAGAGGGCCCTAGGAGGAAGGACCAGAATTGTCGCCTTTTCGCTGTAGCGAGAGACGTCTCGCTGTAGCGACAGAGCGACAATTTTGAGACCATTTCTAGGTGCAGTCT